TTAAATAAATTCCTTTGTGCAAAGGCGCACTCTCTATTTACTTTTTCAATTTTTTTGCCCGACTGGCCGACGTATTGGCAAAACTCGATCCACTAAAAATAAATTGACATCAATCAGGGGCCGAGGAAAAAGGAAAAGTCATCAGAACCAGACGATGGCAATGGCGATGTCGATGGCGATGGCGATGGCAACTAATTAAGCAACGTCACACATGCAACGTCCATTAATGAAAGCGAATCAAACAGGACTGACTGAACCGAACCGGGCAGACGAAAGGGATTCGCATCGAATTTAAATACCAAACAATAGGCCCAATTAAAAAAAGGCAAAATAAACTCGAAGCGCGAAAATTGGAATTTTAGCACGTACGCGATGTGGGGAAAATAAATCAACTTGATTGCTCGCCGTCTGCTCCTCGCCGTCGATTCGAACTGATTGATGTTGGAAATGCAACTAACCTGCGCTCGAGATCTAGACCCTAAGCTCATCGCATATTAGATCTAATTTCATCTCATACAAAGATGGTTCTCGGCTGCAAAAACTTGATTAGCAACTTTGGCTGCCTTGTGAAATTGTTGAGTTGCGCTCTTTTAAGTGACTTTTAATGTGGGTCTAGCTTAGTTTACTTTTTGTTCTCCTCCGCCTTTGATGAATGTGTGTGTATTCTTTGCTCATTGCTATGACTATACATCTATGGCACCAGATGCTAATGAGTTAATTAACACCTTTTGCTCCGGCCTTTTGTCGCTCACAAAAAGTTGGCTTAGAGAACCTTTGAGACGCACAAACGCGTTGTGACCGCAAAATGTGATTACAAAAGAAAGTTGAAGAAGCCATGTAAACATCACAATATTCTGATTACGTTCGATATTCAAGATGGAACTTGATAATTAACTTATAACATATGAATGCAATGCTTTAAAATAAACCCGATTTGAATTGGTTGAAGCACACTTTGTAAGGCGTTGATAATAGACATCAACTACATGAGGAGTTTAAGTTCAACTTTCACCTTCTAGTTGACTCATTGATTTCCACACCAGGCAAGGAACGAGAAATGCAAATACAATACGTAATTTGTTCAAGGTTCCTTCGAACGCCCTGGTAAAAGTTTGTGCGGTAATTTCTTGGCACATTTCGCATTTCAGCGCCACAAAATGAAGACTCATATGTGTGTACTCTCCCCTTGACTTGCCATACATTATGGCTAATTTGAATTTTTATCATGTTTACAAGCAAACAATACGTGCATCATCATCATCGTCGTCGTAGCAGAAAGAAGGAGCCGCCAACGTTGCTGGTTTTTCATATTTTTTCTATTTTTTTTTTTTTTCTGTTGCTGTTGTTGACGCCGGGGAAAACCTCGCACAACATTTGCATATCGATTTCATATGCAGTGGGCAAAAATTCATATGTTCCCCCGCATTTCCACGACAATCATTTCCCACCATCATTTCGTCCTTTGGTTTTTGCTCTGCAGTTGGCAATGGAAACGTCTTGTTTCGCTGCAGATCCAAAAATGTGCGGAATTAACGTGAAGCTGTTCGATTCCCAGAAGCCTTCTCTTTTGAACTTATTATGGTAATTTCAATTTATTTCGAAATATTACACCTGAATTAATTAAATAAGGCAGTGCCTGTATAAAATATAATTAGAAAGATATCACAAAACTGGAACCCGCCGTCGACTGTGATCAATTTCAGAATAATTTCTAATAATTTCAGACGAGAAGTGAAATTTGGGTGCAACCTACACAAGTGAAAAATGTGAGTAACTTGAAAATTTAATATCACCCTAGTAGCTCCTTTCCCTTATCCATTTTCCCCATAATCCTTCAAAACTTGACATTGTCTTCGGACTCGTTGCCCCTTATTTTTGTATTTTCCGCTTTTCCTCGTTGTCTGTTTGAAGTTTGCTTGCATGTAAATTGCTCTGATTACCACGTTGCAGCTTTTCTCACCTTCCCCCTTTTCTCGCCATTTCCCACTTTTGCTTACTCATTTGATTTGCTTGCACATTTTGCTGTTGTCTCGTTTGCCATTCTTTTTCTTACTTTTTACTTAACGTAATGCAAATCGCTGTTATTATGCACTTTTTCCTCTTAGACAATATTCCCTTTGTTTCCCCTCCCGTTCTTCCCACTTCCTCGAGGTATTTATGTCCTTCTGGGTTTTCTCCTTTTTCGCTGAGGGTTTTCGGCCCAGGGTCAGAGAGGAAAAGCTCCGGATTCGCAGAGTGTCATAAAATTTGAATGCAATTTTTCCTTCTCGCTTTGCTTCAATTTAGGTGGAAATGAGAAGTCATTTGTTCGGTATTTATGGCCGAGGGGATTTTTGAGGAAAGCACTTTTTGTGGGTTCGAGGATTTTATGTGCAAGCTGCAATCGTTGATTGAATTTGTGATGAAAGATCAAAGGTAAACAAATCGCTCGAGATAATTTCAGTTGATTGTTTGACTCGCTTTAATCCGGAGTATTACTTTTGAGCGAGGGAAATGCTTTGTGCGAAATGGGTAAGGGTAACTTTACGGTGCGAGTTTTAAATTCTTAAGCTGCATTTGTAAAGTTTATGTAAAATCACAGAAGGATGTAGGGTCGGAATAATTGGTATTACCAAACTGAAAACAGTTCAGTTAGTTCCTGAGAAACCTATTAACCCTATAATGCTTTTCTCAGAATAGTATTTACGGCACCAATATATATTCCGTGTTATTTTTCTGTTGGCGGCTGCTTCGATTCCCACGATATTTTAAGCCTTTGACTAAAGCACCCCATAAAAGACGTTTTAGAATCTATTATACAACGCAGTCAAGGAATCGAGAATAACTATACCTATGGCAAGGGGCAAAAGAAAACCAATCTGAGGGTTGTTCTCTTTAGCGATTTCCGCCTGCCAAAAAGTATGCAACACTTTTGCGAAAAGAACTGTTGGCCAAAAGGGAAAATTGGAGTAAGGAGCGGAAAGAAGCGTGAGCCAAGCAGGAAACAAAACTCGGCGACTCACTCAAGCATTTTATTAAATTGCCACCTTCCGTTTGTTGTTACGCTGAGACGACAACTGTCTTCTAGAAAGAAATACTTTTTTCGATTTCTAGGCTCTGAACACCGCCCACATAACCCACCCAAACACTTTGGCGGTAAACCATAAAAAAAAGAGGAAACAAGTAGGAAAATATTCCTGCCATCTTTTTCTATTATACCGCTTCCGCTGTGGGCTGTAGCCAAACTTTTTTGCCAGTTATTCTCGTTTGGGGGCTTTTATTTAAAAAATTTTGTTGCTGCTGTTGCGAGGTTAAAGTGCCAAATCACGAAACAAGCCACATTTCTCTCTGTCTAGTTTGGAATATTGAATTGAATTGCAATTTCGCTGTTTGCCAGGGAGTCGCCGTCGTCTGTCTATAATGCGGCAAACATTGGATGGCGTCCAACTTGAATTTGCATCGAATTTGTTTTAGGCGCAATGCGGGCGGTCGCTACCAAAGGGCTTATCTGAAATTGAAAAGCCCCCTCAGGGGAGTTCGGCCCGAAACGGGTCTAAACAAGCTGCTAAATTCGTAAAACATTATGGAGAAATTAGCGGAATTGCATGCCAAGTTAGACAGAGGTTAATGTGGTCTATTTACTTGTGAAATAACATGGAAAAGGAATTATCCCCCCATCTACTGCAGAAGAAGAACTATCATTTTCCTCATTAGCTAACTAAAAAAGCTCGGGAAAAAATTAGTAACGCACACACAGAGCAAAGAGTGCCGAAAATTATTAAGCATACGCCATGTTGTACAAGCGTAATTACACTTCTCTGAAAAAGCAGATGGTGGGGGCTTTTGAAAGGGGAGTTTGGCTGCCAGGAAAACTCGCAGTGCCAGCGAAACTTTTTTTGCACTCAGTTTGCATTTTCTGTTTTTTTTTTTTTTTACAACTTGTTAACAATAAACGCCACGAAGTCCCCCAATTAAACGTGGCATCCTGCTCAGTCAACTGGCCCTTTCCCTTCCTGGTGGGTGTGGGGGTGGTGGTGAGGAGCAACATTTTTGTGGTCACTTAAGCAGATTAATATCATGGGTGTAATTAAAAGAAGCCGCCCCAAAAGTGTAAGCGGGTTGAAGCTTCCTGTCTGAAATTAACATAATATTACAAAATGTTCACCAACTTTTTTGTCAGCGTGTTGAACACGCTTTTTTGCGTTGGCAATTTTTGCTGGCTCACATAATTGATGGTTTTTAATTAACTGCCAAGTGACCGACAGCTGACAACGAACTTTGAAACAAAGGGATGGAGAGGCAAAATGCAGAAATGAAAGTTCAATGAAAAATCCTCACAAAAAATTTCGTTTACGCACACATCCCGCTGCCTTTCCATGTTTTTCGCAATTTTCCCTTCCATAGAGCTTTTCATCGTTTTCCCCCTTGACCATTGCCAATAAAAACTGTCAAATAGCATTGCCAGCTTTTGGGTTGACCGCGTTTTCGCACGCAATTTCCACCGCCACCAAAATTCTGATCGCTCACTGTCTATCTCTGTCACTCGCTGCCCCTCTCTCTGTCACACCGCCATGTGTCCTAGCTTTTCCCATTGCATGTAGTTCAGATGCGAATTTTCGGGACTTACATGTGGAATATATTAGAATTGTATAGAATACATGTACGCATATGAAAAACACTTCTTGAATGCATTTTAAAAACGCACTAATTTACGGAAATGTGGTGGGAGAAAACTGCTTCTATCCTTTCAGGCGGCGCATTTTCCGTGCATAAGCCCCCATTTGTGTTTGATTTTCGATTGAACATCGCACACATATTTCTAACGCCTCGCTGGTCACTTTGTACCGCGTTTTGTTGATTTGTTGGCGGTGGAAATATTTTGGCTTCGCATACTTTTAGTCACCCACATGCACAACACACCGCATCTATTCACCGCATTGTGTGCGCATAGCTTTCTAGTTCGACTACTCTGTTTTCCGATTTTTTGTAGGCCTGTTTTTGTGAATTTAATAAAAACTTACCATTGCGATTCTCGCTATCGGCGGGTTTCATTTGAATGGGATGGTACATCTGAAATAAAACGAAATGAAGAGCAAATTTAATGAGAGTTTAAACGTAAAACTAAAACTATTTGGTTTGGTTTCGAAAAAGTCCTTGACATAGTTGGTGTTAGTAAATTCGTTTTTAATTGCTTTCGAAATTCACGGAATTAATTTGTTGTTGTTCTCTCACATAGAACTGTCTAAATATTTGTGAGCATATAAATTAGAATTTATTTTTAAATTGTACAAATTTCTTCCAACTTTCATTAGACCAACTGTCGTGCATTCTTAGCATGATGCTTGTTTTAATCCTACCCTTTTTCTCTCGTTAAAATCAAATCCGTTGCCGGGCTGTGTTAATCACATTTGAAATATTAGAGCGCAATATGCTCCGTGGTTCCGGTCGAAAGAGAGAAGGCCGCGATTAATTTACAGAGCTTAGGGCCAAAATGCAGTCGCCAAAAACGGCGACAAGGGAGTTTGGTGCAATAGGAATAGGGGAAATCGGACGGAAGACCCCACTTCATCCTCCCTTTCCACGGGGCCACCATCCACTTAAGCTGCATAATGAATGGAATGCAGGCAAAGGCAGAAAGGAGCCTCGCAGGACACGGAACAAAGCCTCCGCCTAAGTCCTTGACAAAAGCCAAACACATTTATTCAGCGGTCGCTAAAAAGGACACGGGCGGTGTGTAAAATGCGAATGGGGGCAGGGCAGGGTTTGCTGCAGAAATCCTAAAATATGCGTTAGACTTTGCAGCGTGTTTTAAATGTAATTTTTCGCACACTCACACACACACACACACACCTCGTAGCGTCTTCTAATTAAAACAAGCTTAAAGCGCGCCCCACGCCCCTTTCCGCCTTCAAAGGGACCGCGAATCGGGCACGAGGTCAGTCTGCATTCTGTTCTTGGAGATGGCACCGTGATTTGGGGCAAACAGGAAACGGATCTAATACCCAGCATACATTGTTGTACACTCTTAGAGATAAATGAAGCGATTTAATTGCTTGCTAATAAATGTGCAGGAAGCAAATTCTTGTACTTTAGCTGCTGAGAACATACTGCATAAGTTTTGTTAGCCCCTCACGCGTGTCACGACCTCAGCACCGCGTGAAACTACAGCTCGGCTAATGGCGCGTGATTTATTGGCAAACGGGCGGCGAACAAACGACGACAGTCTACGCTAGAAGGCAATGTCCTTGTACGTCCCTCGGACACTGCCCCTCCTCTTTCCAGCCACCCGCTTTTCCTGCTTTCCTGGCCCAACCTCTGCTGGCCGTAAATAATACACGCAACGCGACTGGTTACAAATTGCAGCCAAAGTCAACCTGGCTCTCCGCCGCCACCTTGCGCCTTCCTTACTCTGCCAATTTATTTATATGCAGGAAGTAGCAATTACCAGTCAAACACAGGCGGCACTCACGCCCCCAAAAGGAAAAGCAGTTTCGAAGGTGGAAGTCCTTTCTTCGCTTTGTCAAGCAGCTTTCGTGGTTGGCTTTTTCCTGCCACCAAGTAATTGGTTGAAATATCGCAGGCAACTGTTTTCTATTGGGGCAATTATCGGCCGGTGTGGCTCATGAAATGCAGCACTGCGATATGTTATCGATGCGAGGGGGAATGGCAAGTAAGTCGATTGATAATGTAACGATACATTTTCAGATAACGACCGTACAGAGTACAATGAGTGCCAAGCTAAAAGTCAACGATAAAATAAAATTTTAAACAATTCTTCTGACGTTCGCCAGCATTTCAGCAACAAAGCATTTCCCCCATTTCGATAGCAATCGCAAATTGTGCAAGAAAATTACAAGCCAACGTCAAAGCCTGTCAGTGGAACTGGCAAAAGCAGCAACAACGATGGGAATCAGATGCATCACGCACATGTCCCGTTGCACGCCCCTTAAGCCGTCAGCGCCACAAATGTGGCATAGCAATTTTCTAAAATAAATATCGCAGCTGCAGCCACGAAGCTACATGCAAATTATGTCAGTTCCTCTTTTTGGGAGCCGATAACGTGATGACATAAGCATTGTCCATAGAGGAAGCTTTTCCGCCTTTTCTCCCAATCCTGCTTGCCTTCGCGCAGCCAACACATGGCTTTCAAATAATAATAATATTCAATGCTTATTTGATGGCGCTACAGAAAAAAAGAAAAAAGACTAGGGTACGATACGAACAAAAAAGGGGCAACTGAAAATAAAAAGCAACATTGCCAAATGTCGCTCCCTTTTGCTGACGTTGCTCGCTATCTCCTGACCCCGCAACACCCATTCCCCTTCCATTAGCCTTACCCCTCCCACTATGTCTTTTCCCTTTGCACTTGTGCTGACAACTTTTCCAGAACTCTGCTTGCTTTTCCGCTTTTCAGCTGCTTCTGGTCCAAAGTGCAAATTGACATTTTTGTGCCTGCGGTTTGGCTTGCTCTCTTCGCGCCAGAAAAATTACGGAATACTGATCGACCTATTCAATATCCTTGCCAGCACTCCTTGCAGTCCGAAAAATGCAGAAAGTTCAAATGCATACCAAACCCATCTCTACCGAAGATTGTTGGATTCGTAACATTTATTATTTAAATACGAGACTCCTCTGCGGTCTTCTGCTTCTGTTGCACAAATATTAAAAATATTTTAGAATTTGTCAGAAGAACTTATCGACCATTTCATCATACCTCAGCAAAAGCGAGACTAAAGAAAATACTTTTGGCGCGTGTCTTGTGCTAACAATTTTCGCAATTTTTTACGCTCCTTCTCTATTTTTTAAGCTGCCACAGGACACAGGGCTAAACTTTTAAAATTACTTGCATTTTATAGGGAAATGTTCAGGGCGAACGGTAGAGAAGAAAAAACTATATTGGAAAATAGAGGAGGAAGAATTTCACGTTCCAGGATTTTTTTGCAGGCGCTTTACAAAAACATTTCCCCCTGCGATGCATTTTATTTGAGCCCCACAGTATTTCTGGCTTTTTTGTGCGGTGTCATGGCTCTGTCAGTCCAAACGCCAGTCAATCTGTCAGTCAGCGAGTCAGTTAGCCATAATGAAGGAGGCGAGAGGAATCACGACGATGATGCTGCCGTTCCGCCCCAAAATATCCCGCTTGCTGTGCTGTCAGCCGGATGATAGCGGTTTATGATAAGTTTATAGAGTTTTCCCTTGTTTGTGTCGGATCAGCGAAAATTCCAATTAAAGGCTGTGATGCCCGAGCCCATGTCCCATGCCAAGTGCCTCAATTTGGACTCAAACGCACTTAAGCATGAGCAAAATTGTCTTCTTCAAAAGGGGTAATTATTAGGACTTTAGTGCACTTGAAGAAAATCCCAATTCCAAAGTAAACCATGCATACTACTATCACTTACAAAAGCGGATTTAAAACACAGCCTTAAAGTGCTATGCATTCATTTGAAAGCGTCGGGGCTCTGTGGTGTATTTCCATTTAACTTAAAATGGAGTTGAGAGGACTGGGCTTGATAAAATCGTAACACAAATCAACATTTTCTTACCCCATTTAGCGTCTTAACATTATGCAAAGCATCCTGGGCTTTCAGGGCGGCGCGTCTCGTATAAAACGTCACAAAGCAGCAGCCTGGAAAATAAAGGGAAAAGCATAAGATTAGCATGAGGGTTAAATTGGGTTTATTTGCGAGAGCTAGCTTCGTGAAAGGTGGCACTGGGAAATTATGAAAATTATTGTTATTAGCGGAGGCGGGCAGGGGAAATGCCCGAATGGAAAACGTGTGAGAACTGAGTAAGCCATGGGCGTGGCGCCTAGGGGAGGGCAAGAAATGTGGCAACAACATGACAGCCTGGCACTAAATTGAACATTATAGCCCCAGCAAATGTGTCGCGTTTGAGATTGGAGTGCAAGTTTCCTGGCAAGGATGTGGGGCGACTTTTGGGCCGAAAGGGGGTGGCAAGGTGTTGGAATTTATGAGGGTGCGAGTCGGCGGCAAGTGTGACCAGCATACTAAGTGATACCTAAACTTGAATATTAGTTTTCTCTACCCACTTTCATACATGGATACGTATTTTGCAAAATTTAGATGGTATAATAAATAATAATGCCTGCACATAATTTGCTCCATTTTTTGATATATTCATTATCTTCCCGCATTTTAGTTATATGTTCAAATATTCCAAATGCCTCCTTAAATGAAACCCGAAAACATTTTATCCACCTTTTTATTCGACTCCCTTTTCGCATGGCATTCCATTTCCATTTCAGCAAAATACATTTTTGTAGGTTCTGTTTTGGATGTGGCAGAAATTCCCTTTCTTTTATGCGCCAAATCTGTGGCCAAGTTACACACACACACACTGCCATCCAGAGCTTTGGTTAAATCCATTTCCGGATCCTGCACACACTCGCACACACACCTATACCTATACTTTCCGTTGCATCCCATTTACCACACTTGCAATTTCCCCACATACTCCCGCATTTTCCCGCAACTTTCCCGCCCAATTTCAAGGCCTACCTCAACCTCGGGCTCAGCGGTGTGTGATGGCAGCGCTGGTTACAACAAAACTTAATACGGCCATGCAATAGTTGCATAATGCAATTACCCACCAGCGTATCGGCGGCATTTAGTGGCGGCCATTTCGGCTGGTCTCCCCATGGTCACCCCCTCGTCCGGTTGGCCAGGGGCGTGGAATCCCCACCTTGCCCACACAGGTAATTCAATCTGTCGCAGTTCTCTCTTTTTATGCCATGTCACCACCAACATTTTTCTGCATTTTTCACATATTTGCAAATATTTTCATTTCTCGTTGCGGACTCTTTTTTACTGCCATTAAATTTCTGGGAGAGTGAGAGTGAGGTTAGACGCAGACGTCGGCACATCCGACGTGTGAGTGAATTATGAGATCTGCAGCTCTTCCGTTTCAAAAAGATACAAAAATTATAAAACGCCGCACCATTTTAATCCTTTGGGTAATAACTTCTCAAAATATTAACATGATTTAATAGTCAAGTCGCGTGAAACCAGAGCTTTCAGTACAAAATGTAGTTGGAAGTATAATCAGTTTACAAACGCAAATAAAGCTTCTTGGCTCAATTATTATTGCATCATAAAATATCGCGTTTCGCTGAAGAGTGAAGAAAGCTGGGAGAAAATGTTGCATTCAACGTCGCTTCAGTGCGGCAGATTAAATATCACTTAAAATTAAACTAGCGTTAAATGTAACAAATGAATTACAATTATTATTGCATCATAAAATATCGCGTTTCGCTGAAGAGTGAAGAAAGCTGGGAGAAAATGTTGCATTCAACGTCGCTTCAGTGCGGCAGATTAAATATCACTTAAAATTAAACTAGCGTTAAATGTAACAAATGAAGGAAAATCGAAACCATTTGGAATGCAATAAAACATAGTCGGCGAGCAAGGATACTGCATTCTGGTTCTGGCTGATCGGAGCTATAGATACGGAAAGCAATCGAAGGATAACGAAGGAGGAGGCAACGGAACTGCATCAAAACAACGCAGAAAACGAAGAAAAATCTCGCACAACTCCCATTATGTGCATGTCAACTGCAGTTAGAATCAAATCCAAGACACACACACAAATACACACCCACAACCAAATAGAACAAAGCGATAAAAAACAAGTTTGGCAACGGAGGAAAAATAAAGGAAACGCCGAGGAAAATCGAAGGAAAAGCAGCAGCAGCAGCAGCAACATTGATGAAAACGACACCCAGTCACGTTTTTGGACAAAAAGAACTTAATCCCGGCAAGTGGGAGGAAGATGAAATCGAGAGCCGCCAGACAAGACGTGCCAAAGTCCGGCCAAAACTAAACTAACGTATATACAAAGCTAGCTACATATATTCCGACCTTTATATATCACCCATAAACTACAAAAACCTTCGAAACACGTTTGTGAACGAGAGTGCAACGAAACGAATTAATCGAAGTTAAATAAATCAATGTCCTTAAACATTGCCACCCACAGATTTACTGACTACGACCAAAGGAGCACAAGTAAATGGAACCAAACACGAGATACGGCACAGGATCAAGGATGCAGCTAAAACAAGCCAATCTCCAATGTATCTTTGTATATAAGATGTTCAGTCCTGGGATTAGGACTGCAACATTGCACTAACAATGCACTAATACACTTTATTTAATATTTGCTGTGCTATTTCTCGTCGAATGCCACAGTTTTGTAAGCTTGAATTATGACGCAAAACTGGATTTCCTTATGTTAATAAAACTATCTGCAAAACTATACTGCATCTCTCACCTAAAGCGTGACAAAGGTTTGGTAATGCTCCAGTGGCAACTAAAAGTCATGACTGAATTCCAATTTAAAAAAGGAAATCAAACTCAAACTGCTCGAAATTTACTTCCTCGGGACCTGCATTTGAAATTGAAATTCGCCTTTTCCTTTGCAGCGCAGCAAAGGCAAGGGGTGCGGAATAAAATTAAGTGAAATTTTATGCATTTTTCACGCTCAGTGCAGCAGCTAAATAAAAATGTCAAGAGCACAAAGTTCCTGGAAGAAGGCAACTCAAAAAAAAAAGGAACGACCGATGAAGGCGTTAGATAAGTGCGTTACTTTTCCTTTTTCCGAGGAGACATTGGACAGCTGGTCTTAGAGTTGGGAAAAGCTTTTCAAAATGAAGTTCTCAAGGCAGTCGAAAGATAACTAAAACGGGGACGAAGGCAGCAAACAACCAAAAAAATCTGCTAACTGACCAAGGTTTTCCCCCTGCTACCCTGCTATCCTGCTTTCCCCGAAAGAAAACCCCACTTAACCCCGATTTCTAACTCAGTGTGAATTATATTATTTCTTTTCCTTGGTTTTGGGTGGATTCTCATCTCAGTCTCCTCGTTTTTCCTTTTCTGGTTTGGTCAGCGAGTTAGTTTTTTATAGGGCGGAGGTCATAAATCACAGGCTCGACTAAAAAAGTGGGCGTTGGGGGTGCGATGGGCGTGGCTGCCTCGGTGGAGAACTGTGACATATGGTCTTGTTTGGGGCGGAGTAAGTTCACAATTGAATACGGTCAGGGTGGTTTATCTGTAAAAGCCTAGCTTAAGGGCTTTAAACTAATGATTATCGCAATAATTTACAATAACGTAATGTAATTAGGTTGATTAGAAATGGGAGCGATAAATAAAGGTTGAATGGCAGAAATTTTGGTAAAGTAAGAGCCCAAGCCAATTCAACGAAATATGTGAGTTTTATTTCGCATTTGAATTGCACTAGAATATTAGCCTAATTATAAAGTTCAATTAAACAAATTTGAATAAATTTCAAACAGGATTTCTGAATACAAAGTTCGGTTACTTGACTAATTAACGTATTTATCTTATTTGTTTGCCCTTCCACTAAAAACCTTTTAGAGCGCCAAGGTAAAAATCGATATTATGTGAAATCTACTCAAATTTGAAGCGGGAGAAATCTTAATTTCTTCATAGTTGGCTGCGTTTCGTTGCCACAAAGCCGCAAGAACTTGAAATTCCAAACCAAAGCGGCCACAAAACATTTTACAGCGCTCCCCTCTGGCAGCTCATTCAATATCAAATTAAAAGCTACCTGTTTCTACCTTTTCTCACCTGAAACAATCCGAAACGGGAACCGCAGAAAATCCTTCTCGCTATGCTTCGACTCCTTTCAACCCGAGGCCCCCCTTCCCCGCCGAACCCGAAAATAACGCCCATTTATCCCGTATTCGGAAAATACTTCCCATTCTATCGCCGAACCGCAAGCGCTAATAAATTATGACCCTAGCGCTTAACCTTGTGCCGCTGGTTTCCACCTTTCCCCGCCCCCTCTCCCTTCGCTCCACTCTCCTTTCCCCTTTAACCTTCACACCTCTCACCTTTATCTCTCGGCCGCAGTGCAACAAAAACAGCAACGGCAAAACCGCAACACCCGCAACAACGTCGAAAGTCCAAAAGAGGCGGAAAAGTCATGGGGGGGGAAATGGGGGAAAACTGCCCGCTAACGAAATTTAGTGCCCCAAAATGGATAACAATTTCGGGGTGCTAGAAGGAAAGGGAAGCATTAGCCCAGAAATACTTGTCCGAAACGAAAAGGAAATTTTTTGGTCGATTCTTTTTGTTTATTTTCTTTCTGCTGTTGGTATTTTTAGTTATTTACGACTTTCTGGTTCAGAGGTCAACCATCGCACTTAAAAGTGTCATTTTGCATTTTGTTTGGTTTAAGGGAAAAAGCGAGTCAGCAGCAACCAAAAAAATAAACTAACTCGGAAAAAATGCACCAGACAAAAGCCAGTACATAAAAAAAGTCGCACAAGTCTAAGGATATGGATGAGGTCCTTTAACCAACTGGTAGCCCAAAACTGGGTTACATTTTGCCATCTAAATGGAAATGTTGTTAGCAGGAAGTTTTGCTGGCTTAAACCGAGTAAAAAAGAGCCAACAAAAACGCATCATGCAAGAGGGAAAATGGTGTTCCCAAAAAAATCAAAATGAAAAGTAGTTCACCACACAAAGCTTCGGAGATATCTGCCAAGTATTAAGTTTATATTTTTGATCGTATAAAAAGTTAAGCTAGGGCAAATAAAAAATAAAATATTTTATTAATTTATATAAGCCTGACGAGTAATAACATATTTAAGCTGTTATATGTTTACCGCATAAAATGGATTCGCAACCAAGAATAAGGAAAGTTCGTTTCCACTTTATTTTTTCACCACCACTCGTTGTAGGTCACTGGCACGCCCACAAAAAAGAAAATGAAAAGGAACCGCCTCCTTTTCCTTCCTTGCACTGACATAAATAATAACTTTGAAATGCAATTTGTGTCGATTTTGTGTTTGTGACTTGCACAAGTCTCTTCCAGCGACAAAAATACCAGCAATAAAAGCGAACATTTTCACATGAGCACTTTGGGAGTGGAAAACGCTGTGACTACTTTTCGTTGCTTGTCATAAATCATCAACACAACGCGCCACTTAAGTGCTTCTAAAACTGTTTTTCCCACTCACATTTCCCCTTGCCACGCCCCCTTTTTTCGGACACTACTGACCAGAACAGCACAGACACGCCCACTTTTACAAAAATAAGGATGAACCTGTCAGCGGCAGTCGGAAAACTAGACAACAACAAAAAAAATGGGATAAATACAGATGGAAAAGCTAAATAGACAGTTGGATACGGAATAACAATGACGCTGAGTAAACAAAACGTTTTCGAAACACAAAATATACAAATGCACAATGGAAACGAGACAAGAATGAATCCTCTCACAGAAATATGAATAGAAAAATCGGAGCCAAATGGCAATTGGAAATGAAAAAGATTAGAAGTGGAAATGTCGTTATGAATGAATGGGGGAAAAAGAGCACATCAATAAAAGTAGAAACTCGACTGCAGTTGAGAGGCCTCAGAAAAAGAGGCGGAGGAATGAGCAGAACAATGAATATATTGGAATAATGAAAAGGGATACCGAACCTTATCTCCATTCGCAGAGATTTCAATTCCAATGAAAGCCGAATGGCAGGTTAATAAATGGACAAAATAAACTGAATTCGTCAGGAATTTTGCATAGGTATATTATTGGATGCCTTCAACTAATATGGATCGTAGATTAAATCCAACTAATATTTTTCTAATAAATAATGCGTACAGGTATGCCTCAAAAATTGGCCCAAAAAACCATAAGCTAAACTAACAAACTTTTTCCTATATATGGTATATATTTTGCAATAATTTTAAATGAATTCCACTTTATATATAGCTCAGAATCACACACAATTTATTATATCAACGCAGTAGTCCTAGGTATTCCTATCACTAATCCATAAGCCTTGATCCTTAAACTCTTAAATAGAACCCAATTGAATGCTCTGAATTGTATTATTTAAATCAACACATCGCCTCCCCGAGTTTCGGTGCAATCTCCATTAGCAAAGCTCAAGGCTATTGAAATGTCTGCTCAAACACAAATAGCGAACAAAAAGCAATTTGCTGATGAAATGAAATGGCAATTGCAAGTGAATGCAATTAAAAGGAAGAGTAGAAGACAGCGACATAGATATGTGTGCACCGAATGCACGAGTTTGGTATATTTGAGTTCTGGCTAGACCAATATCTCATATTAATTCTGTCTGCATTGCCCTCATTTCCATGAAGGGGACGGTAAAGTTTTGGCGGAGCTTTTAGCCATTTACCGCAACAAATTCGAGGGTAATTTATCAGCCAGACAAAGGCGACGGACAAGGGGAGAGACGCCATACAGTGGTCTGTCGCTAACAGGAACACAACTATAGAAAACTTGACCAGTAGAACACATCGGTTTCTGAAATGCAATAGCCTACTTTCTGGCGACTGATCGTGGAAAATATTAAGAATGTGAAATCTAATTATTAATATTAATAATTAATTATATTTGGTTGACTGATCTAAAATTTAAAATGCAGATGGGTGGGACAATTGTTATTCCTTGGGTTACTTTTACTTTTAGGCGGTAGGAATGAATCAAACGTATCACTGAAGCTCTGAACATTATATAATACTTGAAGGGATAATCTTATCGGAAGTCTTTGCTCGCTTTATAATTTATAAATTTATATTTATAAGGGATTTATGGGATTCTTATCAAGCCAAAACTACGATTATATGTTCCATCTGGAACTGAAGGATCCCATTGGGATTGGGATCACTAACTCACCCTTGCTAATTCCGGTGGCCTTGTCCCGCAGAACGTTGATCGAGTGCACGGCGCCGTACTCCTCGAACATCTCGCGCAGCTGCGACTCGTCCATCGACTTGGGCACCTGGCCCACGAACATCTTGATGTTGTCCGGGTCGGGTTCCTTCTCGCCGTACGTCACCGTGGCGTCCGTGTCCAGTCGGAAGCAGGCGTCGTCGTCGACCATGGCGACCACATTGCGGTTGGCGCTGCACGGATTGTTGTTGTTGTTGACCAAACCGGCGGCGGACATTATACCGTTGCTGCCCACGGAAACCAGTGCGTTGCTGTTGCTGCCGCCCAAGCTCGGATTGCTGTTGTTGCCGACGTTTAGGCTGTTGTTGCTGCTGCTGGTGCCGTTGCTGATGCTGTTGTTGTTGCTGTTGTTGTTCAGCAGCGTGGGATTGTTGTTGTTGCTGTGTATGGGGCTGTTCGGCAGGCTGTTCGTTGCACTGCTGCTCTTATCACTCATACCAAAAGCACTGGAAGAGATTGGAAGGAGAGTGTCAGGATTAGTACAGTGCACCCACGATAAGTGAATTTATGAAATAAATGTAAAATAAATATATATTTTAAAAATTAAATGTAGTTCATTTTTTTAAAGATATTCATCATATTTTGCCGTTCTGAGAGCGGCTTTGGAACTACGAGTGCTCACTGTACTCGAATCTTTTACAGTTATCACCCACTAGCACAGACTTACTCCAAGTAGATGTCGTTGTTCTTCTCGGAGAAATCGAAAATCATGCGGCGATTGGCCAAAAACGAAGCGCGACTGGTGAACATATTTGCGATCTCAAACTGAATTTTTACACGGTCGACGCGAATAACGAACGGGAAAACTTGAAACTTTCAATTTAGCGGCAGCCAATTACCAATACCAATACCAATACGCTTCACGTTTACTGTTAACGCACACGGACACTCGAGGTCGGATTGATTAAATTAAGGGCCTAAATAAATACTTCCACTTAACACGGCACTCGGAACTCAACGTGACTAATTAAAAAAAGCTATATATTTAATATATAAACGCAGCGGCTTCGATTCGCTTCTCCTCCCTCTTCCTCTTCTTCTTCCTCGCACTTCCTTTTCGGTCAATCGTCGATGGACAAATGAACGAGAAATCGTAGCGGCGATTAGAATGGAGACGCAGGTGGAAGAACTGAAGTTCCAGTGCATTCCAACGAGAGCGTGGGAGAAAGAACGACTTCAAGGTCAAAAGCTCGCGTGAGCATGCAAAGTGGAGAGAAAACCTAGAGCGGGACAGAAGTTATCTTCCGAACATCCAAAAAGGGAAAACATAGTAAATGTTCAGACACCAAAAACTGGAAGTATTGCTGCTTCAAATATTCGAGTTAAAAATGAAAAATGTAAAACACAACTATTTAATGTTACAATCGGTTTACTCTATCAATCTGGAAAATATTTGATTTTATAATAATTTGCCGTAGTATAAAGGGTATCAACATTTTCATAAGGGAAATAATGTTGATTACGAATGTAATGCAATAAAGATGGAAATTTGGCGAAACTTCTCTTTATAAGGAAAGCAGGTAAAAATGCCACGACAGTACATCATCATTAGGGTGTGTTCTCTACAGCCTAATTATGTGTAATGTGATGCGCGTTGCGACTTGTCTTTCGTGCTCAAATGGACTTTAAAGCTAATTCGAATGGTTGGCTTGAGTGAGCCCCACTTGTTGGTTCTGTCGATTTTCTGGCCGAGTAGACCTCAAATAGCATTAACCTAATGGCCATTTGCCTGTGTAAATAAACGATTTCAGCTCTTTCGAATGGAATTGGGTCGGCTGAAGCGCGATGAGCAAACACTTGGGCAAGGACCACACCTGATGATTAAACGCTTTCTGTCTTCTTATGAACGTGCACAGTGGAGAACCAAAAACTTGAAATTAGGAAAAATTTAAGCATATTTATTGTAAGGTATAAGGTATAAGGTACTACTATATGGAACGTCATTGTAAGTGGTGGAGCGCTATGAAAGTAGATTAGCCCAGTTAAGGGTAGAATATAATTGGATAGCAGGGCGTGGCAGCAATTTATAAAGCTGACGTAGTATGTACATGTTGGGTAAACATGGAGAAATGAAAAATGTACAAAGAAAAAATTACAGTATATGCAAGTTACAAAATTGTAATTTCCCAATAGATTGTTTATCTGTTTCTGGTACTAATTTTCATTTCCCTACAAATTTGGTGTTACTTCTTATTTTATACTGTCTTCTAATTCTTACAAGTTTCACTTTTATCTACCGAATTCTTCTTATCCCGTTCCGTTCTTTGCGACTTCTTTGTTGCATTTTGTAATTTGAACTTTTTCTTTGCTCTGTGTTTCCCAGACTCAAACTTTCCTTCTTCCACTCTTCCCACTTAACCCTCTCAGCTTTTTCGTCTTCACTTTAATTTAGTTAAAGTTTGAAAGTCACTGGAGGCAAGGGGCGGATGACACGCCCCTACACTAGACTGCAAAATCGTGGGGCCTCTCTGGGGAAGGTCTGTAATTGCAACGACCCTTTGACACATTTATTGCATTTCTTACTCTACTCCACTGGTAGAAAATGAACTAATTTTGGTTTGGGGATTAAACAGAAATATCAGAAAAATCAGAAATATTATTTTTTTATGATTCTAGTTTTACGTTCTTTTAAATATTAATTCTAGGCATTTCGAAATAGTAATCAATATTTATCAATGGTTACTCTACTTCATCTCTTGTTTCTCGCGGTGTAAATTGTACATGATCCGAGTTCAACTAAGGTTCCAATAAAACATGCAATTGCGACAATTTTATCGAAAACTTTTTTAACCGAAAAACAAAACTTTGCCCCATCCAAAAAAAAACTGCAGAACCCAACGAAGAATGAACGAGTAAAACGAAGTGAACTTTGTTGCTATCAAAGTTCAAACTGCAATTCATCTTCATCAACAAAAAGTATGCAATAAAATTGGCAACCAAGTGAAATCTGCGATATTTTGACTTGAGTAATACCCATCAATGCTTAAAGTCCTATAAATTTGTACTGGTAATTTAGCCTTTTGTTGATGTTTTAAGTATAACCAAGATTTTTAAAAATAAGTGATTTGTATAGAAAATGACGAATTAAGGATACAAATAACTCGATTACAGGGTACAGTAGACTTTTCCTTGGACTTGGAATCGACTATGCCACTTGTTTGTCATGAATGCAATGTCGCGGCTGAAAACCTGTTACAATTTGAAGATTTCACACTTTAAATTTTAAAGCACACTTCGGCGCTCTATTCCGTCGTTTACTTTTCCTTGGCATTTATCTTCATTTGTCGGAGGAGCCGAAGGAAAAGCAGAAGGACCTGGTCCTGCAGCAGCTGTCAACAATTTGCCAACCGCAAAATTGTCGAGGGAGCCAAGTGGGTGTTTGAAATTCGGCATTGGGATTGGGACTGGGCTTGGACCACGCCTGCGATTCTCTCGAGAAACTCACTAATTTGCTTGATTACTCCAGAGAATATCCGGCGGCTGAGAAATTTGAAATCTATTATAAAAGTTTTTTAGCCTCAAAATGAAGGCCCACTTGGGACAGTCGGCTGAGATGCCGACTTGGGGAAAAGTGTGCGGGGAAAATCATCTTCGACGGCGTCGACATGGGTCAACACTTTGACAGGCACAAGGACAAAGAGTCCGAACTTTTCCAACAAAAAGGTGAGGAAAATTAAGAAAAAAATAGGTAGTATGCAGCAGCTGTGAGGCACTCGAAGAAATTGGATCAGAAATCAAGTTTATTTTAATGGTAATAATCCTAAGTGAAAGCACTTGTATTCGATGTTTTAATAACTATATAATTAAATAATAACTATATAAATGAATAGAGTTCATTGTGAATGTTGATGCATGTGAATGTGAACAAGTATTTTTTTCAGTGATGGCAGCAGCTGAAAAATTCTTGGAACAACTTTTGCTAGTCTTCGCTTTTTAATTCTTTTTTGTTTTTCGGATCTCTCTTATTTTGCAGGTGAGCTGGATTATTTTTTTTATGTCTAGCGTCTGCTTCACAACAAATCAAGTGCAAAGTGGAGTCCTTCACTCCATGTTATTGTTGTTGCTGAGTAGAGTGAACTTTTGATTCTTGTTATTTTGTTACTCATTGCTCTTTGTTCTCCTTGATTGGTTTTTGTTGGTAGTGCGGTACACTGGGGAAGTGAAATCAATGGGAATGGGAAAAAACCCAGACGATTTTCTCGAGAGCTTCACATTGTAATTTCTGAAGTAGGGCAAAAGGACTTTGCGAGGACGTAGGTTAATAAGAAAAGGCAAGGAAGCTCAAAGATTTTCGCAGTAAATTCAAAATATTCAAAAAACCATAAACTTGCAATAAAATATTAGAATTGCTACATTCTTCTAGTATTTAAGGTATTATTGCCGGATTCTGTCGTGTCTTGATTTAACAACCAAGCATAAGCCCCATTTAAATCTCATATTCCCCATTATCCCCCTTCATCGCTAAACTATAAAATGAAGTATGCACCTTTAGCATTTTCCTTGAGTTAATAACCAACCTAGCGGTTTTTAAGCAGCTTAAACTCGCTCCCCACCCAACTCGGGGTTTCCTTTGATCTGGCCACGAATAACCTTTTAATGCGACTCAAGTTCAGGAGACTATAAATTACTGAACTGCGCGAAAAACAGCAGAGAAAGCAGGGAAAAGCGGCGAGTGAAAAAAATATGAGAACATTTCAGCACGCTTATCAAAGATAATTTTAAGCCGCATTTAAAAATGATTTCTTTGCTTTATTTTCGCACAGGCCCTGCCACTTTCTCCAGCCGCTTTCCCGGCGCCTTTCTCTCGCTTTTCGTCGACCTACGCGACTTTTTCCGCTGACTGTGCGTTGTCTGGCAACCCTGGCGGAAAATGGACGGGGAAGGTGTACGATTTTGGTGCGTACCAGAGCGGAAGGAAAGGCGGAACAGGGTGGCCAGGGTGGTCCAATGTTGACAGTCAGTGAACCCCGAAAAAGGCAATGCCAACAATAAAACCAAGGAGCGATGTTTCGCTGAACGAAGTGCTTGATACCCTATAAGCCAATAGGCTTATGATGCCTAAAATGGCTTAAAATTATATTTATTAATTGATATTTATTCTATTTCTGCGGTATTTCTATTTTCTAAGCATAACCTTTTATATTTAATACTCTTATTAATAGAGTAATGGAAGAGTCTCTTTCTGTAAAGGGCCAAAAGTAGTTTATGCCACCAACGCGCTGTTCTTTTTTGGTCAAGGGTCCGTCCCCACCCCCCTCATAGACCCCAAAACCTGGGCGAGGACTTGCTCTGCTTTTCGTCCTTCCACTGCGACAATTGGATGAGCAAATGCTGACGAAAGGGCTAGGAGGAGATGGGGCCTTTGGACATGGAAAAGAGGAAAAGGGGAAGCGCAGCTTGGACTTTGCCCAAATATTTGACATGGCCAAAAGCAGACAGCGGCCAAGGGAGGGGGAGCACTGTCTGGGGGACTGAGAGGATGATGAAGGTGATGCAGCTCATTTTTTGACTCTACTCCTGGGATTTCCATGGGTCTTTCGGCGATGGGGTCCTTTTCGTTTTAGGACTCGTGTGTAATTAAGCAAAAATTCCAAATCGTTTGTACTTTTTGTCCTTGTCTGACTCTCCCATTCCCAATTTTGTTGTTAATAATCACTTGTAAATAGATCAAAGTTGGCATTTTATTTGAATTCCTCATCGCAGTGGCAAATTTTTGGGCCCTAGTGTTGGCACCAGACTGAAAGTCTGAACCGGATTATGTTGACTAATTAGAGGTTGATGAGGGAGAGTTCATTGGGGAGTTTGGTATGTTTGGGTTGCTCCAGGGAACTTTTAAAGTTTAGTTGGGATTTAATTGACTTCTTGACAATAACTAATGGGGATGAAAAAAATTAAGGCATTGCTGGATTATCTTTACAACCACCAACAAATAATAATGTCTCAAGTTGTTTATTCCATCGAATCTAAATTAAACGACAGCAGCATTTCATTTACTTAAATTGTTCACCCATAACTTTCCATCTTTACAGCTGAAAATGACACACAAATTAAAAAGGCAGAAGCGCGAAAATAAAACGCCAACGTCACCGAAGAAAAAAGTGTGCAATAAATA